AGTATCGATAGCCGAGATGCCCGACTCGGCGAACGGCTTGCTTGCCAATCCGCACCGACGAACAGGCCACCGTCAGTTTGTGCCTTGTAGGGGTAGGGTCCATATCGTCGTAGGTTTCGATGGGCTTCGATAGCATGCCGACCGAGGTTTGGACGATTTGACGATCACTTCCGATGATGGCGATGGTGACGCCGTCGGCATAGAGGTCGACCGTCCGAGAGATGAGGGCCGTGTCGGAACGCATGTCATCGAAAGGGCCGGTCATCGCACACTGCAGGCAGAAAATAGCGAGATGGCATCCAGACAAGACGCCTCGCGTCGCCCAGATGTCTTCCGAAAAGGTAGCGCCCCACGCAATCCTGCGTGATGACATGTACATGCGCAGCGCCAGCGCCACGAGGCGAGCGGGAAATTGGTGCTGCGCTGCTGCTGTAAGTAGAAGACGCCAAGGGATGCGGCCAATGCATTTCTCGATGTCTACTATCGCCTGCACAATGGCTTGCCCCCCTGGTTCTACTTCCGCAGCTTCCGCGTTGACTCGCAGTCTTGCCGCCGCGTCAGTAGTGGACTTCTGGGCTCCCAGTCCCAGAAATGGTCTCCCAAGACGACTGGCCCATCCACGTGCCCAATCCAATCGCGCCTTCCCCCGAAGCCGATAGATGGCATTCAATAGCGCCATGGGCCGACGCCCCCCCCCCCCCCCCCCCCTTTCACCCGCAGAACGATGCGCACCCGACGAACGAGCGAAGGCCAACATCGCCAATATTCGCACGTGAAGAGTGTAGCCCAGCAAGGAGAGCGCCCCGTTGGAGGCGAGCACCCAGTGCCTGGGGCGAAACCCGTCCGCCCCGACTGCCGTGCTCAATGGGCACCGTTTGGCAGCGCCCCGAAGCTCCGAGATCTTGAGCGGAGGGCATTGGGGTCGCGTCTGGATGAGGTCACACATGTCCCCGAGGATGCCGTCACCAAGGCCCTGGAACAGGTCGTCGTCGTGGTCCACTCGGGCCTCGCCGAGGCCCTCCCAGATGGCGCCCCAGGAGGCACGCTGCGAGGTGACGATGCCCCCTGGGAAACTGGAATACCTGAAGCTGTTTCCGCAATCAAAAGCTGCCAGCCCTTGGGTTTCGTCCATCGATGCACGACGCCAGGCGTAGAAGCTAATGAAGTGCGAATCCACTTCCGAAAAGACTTGGCACGAACACCTGCAAGACGATTTCTTCGCGCTGTGCGGCCTTGCCCAGTAAGTCACCCAGGAACTGCAGCATGTGCAGGTAACACAGAACGGGTTGCACAGGTATACATGTGAACAGATATGTGATATGACCGACCATGTGCTCATCGGTGTGTAAGCGCAGCCGACCACCCCGCCCATGACCACCCATGAAGTTAACCAAATGTGCCCATGCGCGTTTGCGTGCTTGCATGTTGCCCCTGATATGCATGAGGCGCAGGTCGGTCACGTAAGCCTGCAGTGTGCGAAGTGCGCGCGTCCTCTGTGTGCCCGCTGGCTGCTGCCGTCCAAGGGTCCCCCCTGCGGTGGTATACTTATATTGCTGGCCAGAGGCGCGGCCGCAATCGTCGGCAACTGGCTTCTGCCCAAGATCGAAAGGGGGCTGAGCTCCCCCTTTCGCGCCCTGATAGAGCATGGCAGAAAAGGCTATTCAACCAGCAACCGTGATCATCTGCACTGCCGAACCCACGCTCAGCATCGTCACGCACCAGCTGCGCCCAGTCCTGGGGAGTCTCTCCACGCTGCGCGAAGCACGGCTCATCGTCCAGGCCGTCTGTCTCGACTGGAACAAACTGCGTCTTCGAAGGTAGGACGTGCGGCTTGACAAGCCGACGGAGCTTCTGGCTGCGAGGGCGTGGTCCAATATCAGTGCACATCGGGTAGTGGTGCCTCGGTGGAAACCGGCCAACCCGCCATGGTTCGGGCATAGTAGTGGCCAGGAAGTCAGAAGCGATGCAATAGTCAAGTCGCGATGTGTTGGCCGTCGCTGGATCCATATACGCCCCAACTCTCGATGCAATCACCGTGGCCCGTAGACGGTCTGGCATGTCCGAGTTCCGCATGGCTCCAAGAGGAATATTCCAATCACCAGCGATGGCAGACGGAACACCATAGAAACTCAAGCACTCTCCCATCCGACTGAGAATGCCACTGTTGTCACCTCCGAGGCGCTGACCTTTATGCGGGTAGGTGGGGCCGACGATAAGGCCACCGCGAACTCCAGTGTTGAGACGCACCGCTACGCAGAAGCCTGGCAGTATCACGTGAGTCGGCACAACCGATGACAATGGCACCGCGGTAGTCTGCTCACGAATGAAAAGTCCGACGCCCCCCGTGGGCTGACCTGTGTCCCTGAGAACCGCTTCACTGATGAACTCGTGCCATCCGCGTTTGGCGCGCCATTCCTCGGCAAGATGACGTCGGCCCCCGCTGAGGTGTAATTCTTGTCCCGCGATAATGGGCGCGCGCCGCGTCTGCTCCGGGAAGTCCTGCGTCTGCGGTCAACCCGAACTGTTGAAGGAAGCCGTCCTCAATGGGGTCTTGCGCTTGGCAGCTCGGCGGCGTGGTCTCGCGGAAGGGCTCGCCCCGGCAACGCGTCGTGCGACGTCTACCGCCTGGTTAGCCCCTCGGTTGCATACCGCAGCAGGACTCTCTCCCGACCGACCAGCGGCTAACGGGCGAGATGCGCGAAGCTGCCCTGCCTTGGCGCCGACGACGAGAAACGGGGCGGCGGCCCCCCGAGCGTTCGTTGCCAGAGATCTGCCGAGCCCCCCCCCCCCATCGCCACCATCAGTGAAACCGAACGCTCCAGCGTGGATGCGAGCAGAAGCCGCTCGAGAAGAATAATCATCCAAGTTAGAAGGTGCACCGACACTTCCAGTGTCGATGCCCGAAGATGAGTCATCACGTCCAGTCTCAATCCTAGTCTGCCTGCTAACCTCTCGACAGAAGTCCGCGGCGCGGGTAGGTGCGACCTGATACGTCGGAAGCTGAGAAGGGAGCGCATGTGAATGCAGCACCCTCCCCACTTTCCGTATGACCTTGTGTAGAGGCTGTTCCCCTGGCCGATGAAGTACCGCCCAGTTCTCCAATCAAAGGCATGCCTCCAAGACGCCACTCGGAGTCACCATCGCCAAACTGAATGCGATTCAAGCCAGTGCTGAGATGCGATCCCCCAATTGAATCATCTGCCGAAGCTGCTCCACGCACACAGTGGTAGTCATCCGTACCCATGCCAAAACTGTCGGTTCGACTGGTGCATGTCGCAGAACCGACACGCTGCATTGTTCTATCTACCGCCTGCCGCGGCATGATGGCAAGAAGGATCGTAGTCCACCAATCACTTCGGCGCGTCCACCTGGTCACGGCCCTCGCTGGGGATGGCTGCATCCCAAGCCGTAGGAGTTGCCGGAGCTGGTGTTGTAGTGGCTGCCGCGGCCCCTGGGCCAGAGCCTGGGCGAACTGCACGCTGTCTTGCAATGGTCTCGCACAGCTCACGGTAATGCTTGGTGAGAGACTCCAGGTAGACGCCACCGTTACCAGGAGCGACGGAGGGTGCTGCACTGACGATCTGCCCAAGCCTGGCCATCGCGTCGTCCATGTCCTGCTCCGTCTTCGTGTTGGGGCCAGCCCGAGCGCCCGTGGCAAGAACACTTGTACGAGCGGTCTGCACTTCTGTGTTCCATCTCACGAGACTTCTGGGCATGTCGGTCCAATGCAAGGCGTAGAAGGTCGTCGGGCGTCCGAGTGGCCCTCGCGGCCTCCTCGGCATCATGTGGCTCTTTGCGAGCTGCCACGTAGAGCGCCCAGGGCCTTGCGAGCTCGTACCACCGTGTCCGAAACTGTAACGGGCTCCTCGGCAGGCTCATCATATGACTTGTCTTTGTCGCGTCGGGACCTGCTCAGCCTACGCGATGGTGCTGGTGACCGCGTAGGCGGACGATTGGGCGGCGGTCCAGCTGGGTCTGGCTTGCCTGCCTTGTCTCGCCCACACATGTAGCACCTCTGGTTGCACGCGAAATTGCGTTGGTACCCGCACTGCCTGCTAGCAACGCAAGCCCAACGAGGATCAATCTTGCCAACTGCATCTTTGTTTTGGCGACCACGAGCGGACATCCGCGGGCACGACGACCCGTGACGCGACCCCAGTGTGACCGTCGCGGCCTCCAGTTGTAGCAGTTGTCTGGCCTCCGCCGGCCTGCGGCGGATCCTGCGGCGCCAGGCAGGAGAATCCGACCTCGCCCTCGGCGTGTCGCGCGCCCAGCGGCCGCCACCAGGGCAGCACAGGGCGCGTGGCGGCAGCAGCCGCGACAGCACAGGGGCCTATCGCACGCGCGGGCGCCCTGCTGGGGGGAGGGGGGGGGGGGGAAGCGGCCCTTGACCCCTAGGAGGAGGGAGAGGAGGAGGAGGAGGAGGAGGAGGAGGAGGAGGAGGAGGAGGAGGAGGAGGAGGAGGAGGAGGAGGAGGAGGAGGAGGAGGAGGAGGACCGAGCGGCCGCCGCGCCGCTCCACGAGTCCAGCAAACGCCTCCGCTCCGTGCGCCCCCCCTCCGTCGGGGAGCTGCTGACCCAGGTCAATCCAGACCCCGGGTCAGTCAGGCTTTGCAGGACCCTGCGAGATCCTGCAGGATCCTGCAACCAAGCCCGGGTCAATGCAGCCCTGGCTCTGCACTCTGCAGGATCCTGCAGGATCCAGCGCTCTGACTGAGCCCCGTTTGCATTGACTCCCCTCTCTTGAGCTAGAGGTCTCCTAGATGGAGTCGGAGTAAATGGGGTCGGACGGTCACGCCGCATCGGCGATACATTGGCGATGCATCGGCGATGCACTGGCGACGTCGGCGATGCATTGGCGCCGTCGGCGTGAAGAGAATCGGGCACCACATCGAACCGCATCGCCCATGCATCGACGATACCAAGCGTTCCTCCGAACTCAGCTACTCCGACCCCATCTAGGAGGCCCAATTGAATCCCGACTCTGCGGGCCCGCGGCACCTGCCGGCCGGGCACTCCATGCAGAAGCCAGCGGCGCTGACCTCGCGCTGGGGCGCACGCACCACGCCGCAAGCGCTACGCGCGGAGCGCCGCCGCGGCCGCCGGCACTGATCGTCGCGATCGGCCGTGGCGGCACGACCGCCCGGGCGCGGTCGCGAGAGGGAGCGATTCGTCGAGTAGGGGAGTCAACTACAGAGCTTAGTCAATCCGAGAGAACTGATTTTTCAGCCGGAGCCACAACAGATACATCGAATGCTCAATAGATCTGCGGAACATTCAACGAATTTTCCACGGATGCGACGGACAAATAGTTTTGGGGTAACAGAAATTCTGTGGTCGATCCCCTACTCGAAGTACAACCTTAGGGGTCAACGGAAATCTGTAGTCGATTCCCTACTCGAAGTCGGGCACACGCTGCCATGGCTCACGGATCCACTTGTCGGGGAAGGTACCACCCGAACCGCGAGGCCCGTGGCGCCCGATCTGGTGACGGCGCGCGCCGATCTCGTCTGGAAGCGGAGCCCGTCGCGAACTCCACGCGCCCGAACCCGTGGTTGCGCTTCCTCGAACGGCAGGAGGGGTCTGGCTCGGGGGGGAACCACATCGACCTGGAGCCAGCGGTGCACCACCGGCAGGGCGGCGACGGGCCCGCGAGGCCGAAATTGCACGCTCCTGGGCGGGGGCGAGCTATCGGGCCCCTGCTGGCGATGGGTGTGCGATTGGGGGGTCGATGCGTCCCCACCTGCGCCCATATCCCCGCCCGACGTCGCCCTGGGCCTGCCGGCTTTCGGGGCACAGCTCGAGCCTCAGGCGGCCATGCGGGACCCTTCCGGCACCCACGGAGCGCTCTCGGCGAGGCGCTGCTGATGGAAGCTACACCGAGGCTGGAAACCGCCAAGAACTCACGACCACACATAAAAGCCTCGACCCTCGAACCCCCCCCCCGTGAGACCACTCCCCCCCCCTCCCCCCCACGCTGCCCCTCACGTTGCCCTTGAGATCGGCCGTGCGCGGGCGTTGTGGCCAGCCGGGCGGCGGCCGGCGGGCACGATCGGCCGTGCGCGCGGAGGCCAAGGGAGGATCGAGGGAGGGTCGAGGGTCGAGGAGGACCGAAAGAGCACCGATGGGGGATCGAAAGAGCATCGAACATCGAGGATCAACAGAGGATCGAGGAGAACCGAGATAGAATCGAGGAGCATCGTGAAACGGTGGGAGAGGAATGATGATCGAGAGAGGATCGAGGAGGAGGCGGAGGTGGAGGCAGGAGGCGGAGGAGGGAGGGCCGAGGTGGATCGGGGATCGAGTCCGTGAGCACTGCCGGACCCCTCAGTGCTCCCCAGAAGCCTCACGGACCCTTACAAAGACCTCTGGGGCCTCTGAAGACCGCTAGAGTAGAGGCCTCGAGGAGGAAGGAGGATGAGGACGAGTTTAAGCCCAAGGCGCATCAACGAGGAGGCCATAAACCCTCCCACTTCAGATCTCCCTAGTCACGAGAATTTGACTTCATTCCAGGAAGTGACCCATGGGAAGTCAACTGCCTGGAGAACTCAGAGGAGGAAGGATTGACCCCCCATGCTCCCAAGAGGAGATGCCTCGCCAGGACTAGAAAAGGAAGGCAATACAACAACAATGGTGCATGCATTGGTGGGATTCGTGCACCCAGCAGTTTCTGAAAACAATTGAAAATCTTTGCTCGTACCAAAGGCACACTTCCTGGGGTTTCAACGCCGCGAAAAAAAACGTGACTATTGCGTCCTGGCAAACCTGAATCGTGCCAGAATGCCTTTCCTATGACTTCAACACCGCGAATCCACTTGACTGTTGCGTCCTAGAGGTCCTGGTAATCCTAAATAAGCCGTGCCAAAGCACCGTTCCTGGGATTTCAACCGCACGGACCCGTGACACAGTAATCTACATATGGATACGTGTATAAAACAGCAAATGTGCGCGGCGATGCAGGGAGAGCTCCATTTTGAAAACGGCCCGCCCCCCACCCTCGAAGCTGTTGCAGATGTCAAGCTTCAGGGTCACACGGGGTGTGGAGGCCTCAAGCGAAACGCCCGGCCCAGCCTACGGACACGTCTGGGGGTGCGACGGGGAGGAGTCACGGGCCTCAGGAAAAATGGCAAACACTCGTGCCACATTCACGGAATTCCAGGGGGCTCTGGGGGGGGCGGCTCTGAACAAGTCTAATGCGGCTTTGGGTGTCCTTCGGCAGCGCGGCCATCCGTTCGATCAGATCGCGTAGGCGGTATCTGCCTCTCTTCCGCTGCTTCTGCGCCTCCTCCAACTCCTCTTCATATTCTTCCTCGTCCTTCTGCTTTTCCCTTTCTCTTCCTCCTCCTCCTCCTCAACGTTACCCTCCTCCTTCTCCTCCTCAACTTTATCCTCCTCCTCCTCCTCCGTCTCCTCCCTCCTCTTTCTCTCCTCCTTCAACTTCTCTCTTCCAGCTCCTCTCCTCTTTCCTCCCCGGCCCCCTCCATCCTCCTTCTCCTCATTCTGCGTCTCTTCCTCCTCTGTTTCTTTGTCCTTCTTCCCTCTCAGCCCTCCTCCCTTCTCCACTCCCCCCCGTTCTTGCCCAACTCCTTTTTGTCCGTGACCTTCTCCCCCGCCTCCTTCTTCCCGTCTCATCCTCCCCTCCTCCTCCTCCTCCCTCGTCCTCCTGCCTAATCCTTCTCCAATTCTCCCTCTCCTCCCTGGGGGAAAGGTTTCCCACTCCCCTCTTGCTTCTCCTCATCATCTCCTCCTCCTCTTCCTCCTCCTCCTCCTCCTTCTCCGCCCCGCCTCGACGCTTCGGGCTGGCGCGCTCCCGAAGGCCGCGGCCGCGGCCGACGCCGTTGCTGCCGTCGCCGCCGCCGTTGACGTCCGCTTGGTCGTCGTCGCCGTCCTCGTGTTCGCCACCGCCGTCGTCGACCTCGCCGTCCTCGTCGTCGCCCTCGCCGTCCGTGTGGTCGCCGTCGTCACCGCGGGCCGCCGGGGGGCACGGAGAGAAGGATGAGGGGGAGGGAGGAGGAGGAGGAGGAGGAGGAGGAGGAGGAGGAGGAGGATGAGGAGGAGGAGGAGGAGGAGGAGGGGGAGGGGGAGGGGGAGGAGGAGGAGGAGGAGGAGGAGGAGGAGGAGGAGGAGGAGGAGGGAGGAGGAGGGAGAAGGAGCAGGAGGAGGAGTGGGAGGAGGAGAGGAGGAGGAGGAGGAGGAGGAGGAGAGGAGGAGGAGGAGGAGGAGGAGCGCGCGCCACCGTGGGTGTCTGCCGAAACTAACTCTGTTCGCTGCACGGGGGCCGCCCGACCAGCCCCATTGAGCTTTCGGGCGGCATTGGCGACGCCATCGATGGACGCCCGAGCGCGAGCGAGCACCAGAACATTTGGCGGTCAGCTGTTGGATTTGATTATCATAACGATCTCGTCAACCATCGCGTATTCGACCTTCTGTGGAAGCACGCCTGCAATGACGGAGACATCGATGACCTCGTTGTGTATAGACTCCATGACGAAACGCAGTTTGATCACACGTACCAGACCTTTGCTCAATAAGCAGTAGCTGTCAACTCGAATACACATCACAGTTCACGTTTGTATCTTGAAAGGCCGTTGGAGGCCATTGCAGTACTTATTCCTTTTGCAGTTGAGGCCATTTGATACCGCAGTACGTCTTCCTTTTGCAATCTCATCACACCGGATCGTGGCGTTAGAGGGTAGTTAACGTGTCGACCGCCAAGTAACAATACTAAGCGTGTCGACCGCCAGCGGCAGCCTGGTTGTCCCAGACCGGCTGGACACTTCGAGGTTGAGACGCCGATCAAACCCAATTTCCTCCGCCATTCTTGAAACTCCGCTACTCGTTGGATATCTCTGACTCTCCCTCCACATCCGTCAAGCTTCGCAATACCTTTTTTTTGCAACTGTGATTTTTTAAGCCTACGCCAAAGCCTAGATCCAGGAGGGGGCTCAGGCTTGTTGTGAGGAGGAGGTGGAGGAATGCGCATACATATATATGTATATATATATATATATTCATGTATAGAGGTATCCTAACAGCCAGCGCTGTTACAACAAGTGCACCTTAGTTATCCCACACGGTTCGCGTACCCCGCTAAATCAATTAAGCTCCGTGCTTAGCCCGAACAGAATTTGCGCAAAGCACCCGGGTCCTGGGGCCGAGGAGGCTTGGGGTGAACCACGCAAGCCCTGGGTAATAGCCCAAGACGTGCCGCACTTGTACTTCTTGTTATTTGTTCTGCAACTCGTGATTCCCCTTGCAAACCACAGAAGGCACCTTAGATCGGTCCTGCTGAGAGCCTTCGGGGAAGGCCGCACCTGATTTGGGCATGGTGGGATCTGATGGGCGGGGATGCGGTGGCGGGGAGGGTGAAGATACGAACGCGGTGGTTCCCGTATCCTGCTGCTTCTTCTGTGTTTAATAGGAACGTCGCCCAGGCCAGCCAGCACAGACTGCAGTAGGGGCACGGCCACAAAGAAACCTCTCACAAGAAACCCAACCCCGAGACCCCAAGACTTCTTTTAATTTCTCGTGCGGGAAAGTCACGCTTCCCGTAGCATAACCATCGAAACTCGAGAAACCCAGGGCACCCTGGACGCAAGCAGGGTGTTTCTTGACATGGGCTTCCACTGTAAGCCGGCCTTCAGCCTGCAAAACATAGCAGAACTGTGCCCAATACACTTTCGATTCGAGAGCCTCGGCGAGGGCTGGCGGCTGACCGCTAGACCAGTATACCTAGCAGGCGCCCTGCAATCTTTGACACGACGCACTCGGAGGAGGCAGAGGATCTGAGGATTCAAGTCGCGGGGGAGGGGGAATACACGAACTCTGTAGTTCTCGTATCCTGCTGCTTCCTGTTTGATTAACACAAAGGCCGCCCAGGCCAGTTAGCATAGACTGAGCAAGCATTCAACCTGCATAACATTAATGCCCAAGATCTTCAAGACCCTCGGCGAGGGCAATGGCTAACGGCCAGACCGGTATAGAGGGGGTGGAGGTGGAGGAGGATGGAGAGGGGGAGGTGGTGGAGGAGATTTTGCACTCCTGGAGGCAAACACGTGTTTCTGTCTTGCGTGTGGCGGCAGCTCAGAGCCGGTCTGCATAGCAAGCGTGTCGCCAGTGCGCCTCATGAGTCCCACACGGTTCGCGTACCCCGCTGACTCCAGGCTCACACCTTGAAGGCACTTGCAAAGAAAAGACACTCGTGCAGGCGGGAATGTGTTTTGTCCTTGCGGGCGGCGGCAATTCCGAGAGATGATGCACTCCTGGAGGTAGGCACGTGGCTCTTTCTGGAGAGGGTTGGGGAGGAACTGGTGGATGTGTGGAGGAGCTCGCACAGCACTCAATTCTCACAGTTTCAGCCGCAAAACGTTCAATTTCTTTCTGCCGTACACTTCACTAGACCGCGCCGCGCGAGTGCCGCGGAACGATGCCCTGCGGATGACTCGTCTTAAATCATCCTTCCTCTGTGATTTTACCTGCCTGCAGGGGCCGCTGCCGTTACGACGAGGGGTGGTGGTGATGATGATGACCATTGGTGGCAGTGGAGGATGAGCACTCGCACGCGAGTTTCAAGTGCCGACCCCCTGCGAGGTCAGCCTTTGCCTCGGTAAGGGTCCAGAAGCATGTAAACAGCAAAACTCGGAAAGTAGAGCACTGGCCGCATCCATTACTAATCGTAGGTCTTAGGGGAGGTGGTGGGGGATATGATATTCGGGGTGGTGGGATCGGGGCGACCTTGTTTTGTGCATACTCGAATGCCCGCTTCTGGGCTTGATCTCTTGCAAGCTCTCGTTGCCCCTTTTTGATCGTACTGCACTCTGCTGTGCGACTTTGTCATGGTTCGCCATGCTTGCTTCTCTTAGAGCAGCTTTTCGCATAAGAGGGCTTTCCCCTCATGTTGCATGCCAGACGCCACAAACCTTGTTCTTGAGGTCTACCTAACGCAAGAAAGAGGAGGGTGAGGAGGAAGGGGGAGGAGGAGAAGGAGGAGGAGGAGGAGAAGGAAGAGAAGGAAGAGGAGCGACCCACTTGCCGGGGGCGCAGCCGCCGCAGGCCGCCTCCTCGGAGGTCGCGCCCGGGTCCGAGCCCCACTTGCCCGGCGGGCACCTGCTGGGGCGGCGGCGGACGACGACGATGACGAAGGCGGCGGCGGCGACGACCTGATGACGACGAAGGCGGCGGCGTCGTGGTGGTGGGGCGTCGCCGTGCTGGGGGAGGACTTCGTCGTTGTCGTCGTCGCCGACGCACTCGCCACGGCCGTGGAGGATGTCGTCGTCGCTGCGGTGGTCGTGGGGAGGAGAAGGGTTGGAAGTGAATCTAGACTGGCAAGGGGGAAGGAGGGAGAAAAAGGGAGATGCTGGAGAGGGGGGACCCACGAGTATGCACGAGGGTGGCCATAGAAGTCCGTAGGGCTATCTTAGACCGTCCTCCCTCCTCCTCCTCCTCCTCCTCCTCCTCCTGCTCCTGCTCCTCGTCTTCGTCCTCGTCCTCGTCCTCCTCCTCCTCCTCCTGCTCCTTCCCTCCTCTTCCTCCTCCTCCTCCTCCTCCTCCTCCTCCTCCTCCCCCTCCTGCTCATCCTCCACAATTGCACAAAATGAATACCACTCCCCTCTCTCCCCCGATGACGTCCAGAAGATATCGTTTTCGCTGTTTTGTGTGTCAAAATGTAGCTCCCGCTGAAGCGCTGGTCCCATTTCTGCGCCTCTGGTTGTTCCACATCGTGTTCCCGCTGCAGCGCGGGCGTTTTCGGACCTTCCAGATATGCCCCAACATTTAGAAAATGACCCCTGAAAAAAATTACCGGAAGTGATCACACATTGAGTGTTGATTTATTTGTTGATTATTTGGGCCGCAGAACCCCCCCACTTTGGGGCGTCGTCGTTTTCAGGAAGTAACAAAACAAGCGGGAGCCCGGTTCTGCGAGGCGGGAATTTATCCATATCCACCGTCTGGGAACCGACGTCCTGGTGCCCCGGCGGGCGGCGGATATAGATATATTTTGGCCCCCGGGGGACCGAATATGTCCATATTCACCGCTTGTGGAGGTCCGCGAAGATCGACCCCCCAGCCGGTGGTTATGGACAAATTCCTGCCTCGGACGGTTCTGCTTTGAGAAGGCGATGTTGGAAGCAGAGTCAGCGGGTGGTCTCCATCAGCCCCGCCTTGTGTGGAGCTTTTCGGGGAGCCCAAGGAGCCACACATGGAGCCGCGACTCCAGACCGGCCCAGACCTCTCGAAAACGATCCACGTACTCTCCAAGGAACCCGGCGTCATGCAATGACATGCTGTGCGGTGTTGCGTTCTACGCCGCCTTGCGATGCCATGCTTTGCGTTGCAATGCTTTGTGATGCAATGCTTCACTGAACAATGCCACGCCATGCTATGGCATGCTACGCTCTGCCGTGCTCTTCTACGCCATGCCATGCCGTGCTCTACCATGTATCGCGCACCCTCTCGTGATCATTTCCCTGTTCGACATCCGACTGTGCGAATAAAGAGGATAGTTACGCCATGGTAAGTGATGGGAGGGAAGGGTGGGACGTCAGATATGACGCGAGCGCACCTAGCTTGTCCTCCTCCCCCTCCTCCTCCTCCTCCTCCTCCTTCTTCTTCTCCTCCTCCTCCTCCTCCTCCTCCTCCTGCTCCCCGCTGCTGCTGCTCCTCCTCCTCCTCCTCCTCCTCCTCCTTCTCCTCGTCCTCCTCTTGCTCCGTAGCCATTTTGGCTCAAGGTTGCGGCAGGCCCCCACGGACGCGGTCGGGCTCTCCTCTCGCCATGGGGCGCGCGAGAAATGGCATCACGGTGCGCTACGGCTCCTCGGTGGCACACCTCCGCGATGTACAGGAAGCGGCGTGCCTCATGCAGCTGCTCAATGGCGACGCAGGAGGGTGCTCGCACTGCGACCTGATCAAGGACGTCGAGGGTATCTTGCATCCGGCTGGCGCGACCCTTGGGCTCGGCACCAAGGCCAGCTCCGAGGACGTGCGGCAAGGACTACGACTTCGGGGACATGTTGACCTGTCCAAGGAGTGGGCGACAGCGCGTCGAGGGCGGCGAGCGGCGGCGCATCGGGACGGCCGCCTGGAGCAGCGTGTGCTCGCGGCGTTGGCTACCCCGCCGCGCAGCCTCGACCAGGAGCTCCAGGAGAAGCAGAAAGAGACGGACCCGTACGACAACGTCCGCTCGGTGGCGGAAGGGAAAATCGGCTTCGACGCCTACGTCGAAGACTTGTCCAGCGTGGACAGCACGGAGCCGAGCGAAAGCGCCTTGTGCGAGAAGCCGGCACGTCTAACAAGGACCTTTTCCTGGCACTGGAGAAGATGCACCAGCATAAAGGATGAGCAGAAATCCCTGGAGCAGAAATCCACCGTGGAGGCCGAAGAGCAGGCCCGGCATGTCAAGACCTCGCAGGAGAACGAGATGGCGAAGAGCGTCGCGGACGGCACAAACACCATCACGTATACCTTCACGGACGCATGTTCCGAGGAGGCCACGGCGGCCGCCCAGGAGCTCGAAAAGATCGTGGAGGTGCCGCAGGTCGAGGACAGTGTGAAGAGTACCGAGAGGGAGACCGAGGATATAGCCAAGGAGGAGAAGAAGCAGGCCGATGCGACGAAGCAGTCCGAGGAATGGTCTGAGGCGCGGGACTACCTCCTCGATTAATGTGCAACACCCTCCTGAAGTCTAAGTTCAAGTACAACTTCGAAGACGGCGACAGAGAGAAGATTGAGCAGGATCTCGAATATACTCTCGTCTGGTTGGACAAGGCCCAGCCCGTGGGGAAGTGTGAGCTCGAGGGCAAGCGAAAGGAGATTGAGGGCATCGTCAACCCGATGTTGGTGAAGCCCATGTTCAACTTGGAGCGGAGGATCGATATCCTCATGGAGGACGGGTCGTGAAACGTGGACGACCTCGCCCTTCGGATGCTCGCTGACGCCCAGACTGGCCTCCAGGCACTGCAGAAGGTCTTCGCGGCCTGAGTGCTATGCTGGCTCATGTCTACGGATCTGTGAAGGAAGGGCCCCATGAGGGTCGGTGGTATTGGCCTTCGTGCGCGAGGCCGATGGCAGAAACGAGCCCTCCTTCAGGCGGTGGCGCATGAGGTAGCCGCGCCGCCCGCCGAGGGAGGGGCAGAAACTGGACAGAGTCCGCTTTCAAATCGTTCCGAAAAGTGCCTCCTTCTCCTCCTCCTGCTCCCCATTTCTTCTCCTCCTTCGCCTCCTCCTCCTCCTCCTCCTCCTCCTCCTGCTTTCCCTTCTTCCTCCTCCTCCTCCTCCTCCTGCTCTCCCTTCTTCCTCCTCCTCCTCCTCCTCCATTTCCTCCTCCCATTTCCTCCTCCCATTTCCTCCTCTTTCCTCCTCTTCCTCCTCCTCCTCCTTCTCCTCCTCCTCCTCCTCCTCCTCCTCCTCCTCCATGCCCCCGCCCCTTGCGCGGGCGCAGCCCGAGGCCCCCGCGCTTGGCAGCCGCTGGCGTCGGCGAGGCCAGGGGTGGAGCTGTAGCGCCCGGCGCTGCAGTTCTTGCACTGGTCCACCACGATGCTGCCCTGTAGGCGAGGAGGGTTCCGCCCCTCCCCACCTCTTCTCCGCCGCCCCGACTTGCTCCTCTAATGATGGGTTTTCCTCGTCGTCGTCCTCCTTCTCCTCCTCGTTTTGCTCCCTTTCCCGTCGTCCCTGCTCCACCAATTCTTGTTCCTCCTCCCACTCCTCCTCTCCTCCTCTTTTCTTCGTCCCCTCTGTCATCCCTCCTCCTACTCTGTCATCCGTCCTCCTCTTCCTCCTCTTCCCTCACCTCTTCTTCATACTCCTCCCCCCTTACCCCTCCATCCTCCGTCCCCTTTCCTCCGTCATTGTTCCTCCTTCGTGCCCTCTTCCTCCTCGTACTCCTCGTACTCCTCCTCTCCTCCTCCTCCTCCTCCTCCTCCTCCTCCTCCTCCTCCTCCTCCTCCTCCTCCTCCTCCTCCTCGTCATGCTTCTCCTCCTCCTGGTCCTCCTGGTCCTCCTCCTCCTCCTCCTCCTCCTCCTCCTCCTGAGGGGGAGGAGGACGAGGAGGAGGAGGAGGAGGACGACTAGGAGGAGGAGGGGAGGAGGAGAGGAGGAGGAGGAGGAGAACGAGGAGGAGGAGGAGGACGGGGAGGAGGAGAAGGAGGAGGTCGCGGTGCCTCCTGATCCGAGTAGGTGCCCGGCGGGCAGCTCGTGCAGGCGCTCGCGCCTGCCGCAGCGGGCCGCCGTCGCCTTCGCCGCTGCCGCCGTCGCTCTGGGCCTCCCTCCTGCCCCTCGCCCTCCTCCTCCTGCTGCTCCCTCCTCCTTCCTCCTCCTCCTCCTCCTCCTCCCTTCCCCTCCTCCCCTTCTCCTCCTCCCCCGCGCCTCCTGCCCCGCGCCTCCTGCCCCGCGCCTCCTCCTCCTCCTCCTGCTGCTGCTCCCTCCCCCGTCTTCGCTCTTCTCCCCCGGGGGTCCCAACGGGGTGCGGTGACAGGCCGTGAGGCGATCCCGGACTCCCGATAGGCCTCACCGCGCGGTCCGTCTCCGCACGGTTCTGGGACTCTGGAGGCCCCAGTCGCCCGAGACATCCTCGGAGATGAGCCCAAACTCCCCTGACCGTGCGGCCACCCCGGATCCGCTGGCACCGTTTGGCCCCCCCCCGACTCCCTCTGGCTGGCGGACAAAATCCTGCACCTTGTATGCTGATGTTTGTGAGCACCCCCCGCGCCCTCAATTTAGTATGGGCGGTCTGCGACGCAATGTGTCGATTTGTCGGCTGGTCGACTGGCCGAAATCCTACATCCCGCCAGCGATGCCAACCAACACTAAATCCGGGGCAGGGGGGGCGCGTAGAAGTTGGCGCTGGCTTGCCCCCGATACGCAACACGCAACCCGTAGCGTGTTGGCACGGCATCTGCGGCCCCAGGGGGGAAACGTCGCATTCGGTGGTTCAAAGATGGGGTCCTGAGTGATGGGGCCCTCAGGGCAGGAAGGGATCCAAGGGTGGATCTACATCGTTTGGGACACCTCGTCGTTGGGACCCCACCACTCAGGACCCCATCCTTGAAATACCGATGCTCGGGGATGGACAGAACCCCGTCCAGTAAAACGTGGTTTGTAGTGAAACGACCTCGGGCCCAAACCTGGCGGGCGCAAGCCTGGAAAATGACGGCCGCGGCGCCCTCTCGAGAACCGAAAACGGACAATTCACCTATCGACGTGTCAGGGCGGGGGTCCTGTCCGCCCCCGAGATGCATGGCGCGCGCGGCCCCGCTCCGGCACACCGGCGACCAGACGCCTGCGCGCGGGCGTGCGCTCTCGACGTCGGCACGGTCCGCGAAAAGGGCGAGAGCAGGGAGCATCCGAGGGCTTCGGCGGCCCCCTTCCCCAGGCCGGGCCGACAGAGGCGCGCTCCCCCCGAAGCACGCCGACCGCAGCATCCCCAGCACAGTGGGAGTCGGCCGACATTTCGGCCAGCGCCCGACCTCGATGCTCTGCAGTCGGGCTGCTGAAGGAAGCAACGGTGATAGGCCGGAGCGAAGCCCCCTTTTTGGCCCCCGAAGCGCCTGCGTGACCGAGGAGAGCTAGAGGAACAGCCATGGAAGGACCTACAAGAAACATCGAGCCCCTTCCGAAAACCATACTTTCCATGTGTCCAGCTTCCCGCGCGTTTCTCAAACAAAAATATACATTTCCACCGAGGGAAGTGCTCTGTTGGCGGACAACTGGGGAAAATCCAGAAGCGTGCCAAAACACAATTTTCATGATTTTAACGCCACGAGTCATCCTGGCTACTGCGTCCTGACGATTCTGAATCATGCCAGATCGCCATTCCTGAAACTTCAACACAGCGAATCAACATACGTGTTGCGCCCTGACAACCCTGAAATCGCTCGAATAACACTGTTTCTTGTACGTTTACCATGGGAATCAATGAAGCTCTTGCACAATTTTAAAACGAATGTGCACGGCGCTGAGGCCAGAATCACATTTTGAAAACATCCCGCTCTCAATCCGTGAAGCTCCTGCGAATTTCAAGCAAATGTGCGCGACGCTGAGGCGAGAACCACACTTTAAGCACCACCTGCCCTCAATCCGCGAAACTCTGGCAAATTTTGAAAACGAATATGCGCGGCGCTAAGGCCAGAACCACATTTTGAAAACGAACCGCCCCCAATCCGTGAAACCCTTGCAATTTTTCCCAAAGTAGGGTTGCCCAAAGGGTTCTTACTTGGTGAGAAGGCTGGTGCCTCGGGGGGGTACCTGGTTCCCCGGGCTCCCTGGGCTCCCTGGATTCCTCGGTTTCCCTGGGTTCCCCGGGTTCCCTGGGTCCCTGGGTTCCCCGGGCTCCTCGGGTTCCCCATTTCCCCGGGTTCCTCGGGTTCCCCGGGTTCTGCGAATTCCCCGCCCCCAGTGCCTCGTATTCTTACAGTGCCCGTTCCAAGCAACGCCAAGCAACGCCGCCCATGCAATAGGACATTTTCCCATATTTTCCCCTAATTGGGATCGCGCCGGGTTCATGTTAAACGAATGTGCACGACGAAAAACGCGAGAGCCACAATTTGAAAACGACCCGCCCTCAATCCGTGAAACTCCTGCAACAATTTAAAACGAATGTGCGCGGCTCTATGGCGAGAGCGACATTTTGAAAACGATCCGCCCTCAATCTGTGGAACTCTTGCAAGTGCTTGAAACGAATGTGCGCGGCGCTAAGGAGAAAGCCGCACATTGGAAGCAACCCGCCCTCCATCTGTGAAGCGCTTGCCAATTGTTCAGCTTGAGGCTCATAAAAGGATCAAGAAGTCTCGAACGAAACGCCTGGCCCGCCCTTCCGACTGGCCCCGGGTGCGACAGTGAAAAGTTGATTCAGAAAAAGTTTGTTTTGGGGGGAGGTGGAGGAAAAGGGAGCGCGTCCAGAGATTCACCCGACTCGGTCTCGACCTCCGTGCGAAGTCTAAAGGTCGCCAGGCAAACCGGGAGCACCACGCGATCCTACCTGCGATAGGCAAGCACGTTCATTGAATCGTGGTTTCAAGGATGAGCGAGCGTACCGCATGCGAAACGAAAGGAAAAGGCAAGGAGGAGAGCGCGCCGCGGAGGGAATGAGGGGGAATGAATAGAGATGTCTAATGTGGCCGAGCGGCGGCTGGCACTAGACACGAGCTGTACAAGCACAGCCGGGCACGCACGAAAGGGGAAGCAACAGCAACTCCACAGGCCGCTCTGGCAGGGCGGGCAGGGCGGGCGAAGCCGAGGCTCGCCACGGCCACACTCTTCAGCCATGCGGTGTGGCGCACTGAGCTTGTCTGCAAACAGGAAAGAAAGGAAGGAGGAAAAAGGAAATGAGCGGGAAGAGAAAAGGGGGACGCCAGGACAACTTCTGATGTACCGGGCGGTAGTCTACAGCTAAAGCCTAAACCCCAAGCCTAAACCCCTTAGTGACAGGGTAAGGCGAACGAGCGTGAAGCCCAACGAATCTGGTGAACATCGCTGCTGGGAGAGCGTGGCTGGCAGCCCCGAAGCTGGCGCGACCTGCCGGCCTCAACGCACGACCTGCGCAGACGGGACGGCGCCAGTGCTCTGGCGCAGTGGCCGCCCCCGGAGGCGGAACGCCTCGCCCCGCAACCACGAGGAGAAGAGGAGAGGGTGGGTAGGGAGGGGGGAGGGGGGGGGGAGGGGAAGGGGAGGCAAGAAATCATTCCCCCAGCGACGCCGCAGGCGCGCCGCCGCCGAGGCAAAAAGGCGCAGATTCATCTGCGTGAACCAGCATGCTGGCAGCCAATCAAGGACATCAACAGAGCATGTGAAGTGTGAGGGAGAGGGGGAAAAGGGGGAACGGAGGAAACAGGAAGGAGGAAAGCAGAGGCTCATGCAACATGCACTGAGACATTCTTTTAAAATAGCTATACCGACCAGAGACGTAAACAGCTGTCTTGACACACTTCAGAACGCCAGTGCGGCCACTGTGAGTTATCACTGCCATCGCCAGCTGTACACATTCGGGCGTGAGGCAAGCTCGCAACCTCCATCCAACACGTCTGACGGTTCTAGCTCGCCTCACTCTCAGAATTCACCGAGGGCAAACCCTCATAAACACCTCCTGTGCACAATGGTGGGATCCAAGTCGTCGTACCCTTGGAGATCCACATCTGCTGGGAGGTGCTCAGAGAGGCAATGATACATCCATCGATCTAATTACCCAGAGTACTTGCGCTCGAGCGGAACCACGAACTTTTATCTTCCTTGTGGAAGGAATCAGTGCCGTCAGCTCCTTGGTCATACGCTAGCCGGTGCCTGGGAACATTTGGCAGCGGAAGCGCTCGCTGCCCACGGTTATGATGTTCACATCGGGGAGCTTATACGTCTTCTCCTTGTCGGGGTTCTCCGTGGCGGCCTTCATTCGGGTGTCGAAGTCGAGCGCGGTGTAGCAGAGTTTCTCCGTGACGTCGCGCACGATCTCTCGCTCAGCCGTGGTGGTTGAGGAGTAGCCACGTTCGGTGAAGATTTTCATCAGGGACTCTGTGGGGTCCCGACCCGCCAGATCCAGGCGCAAGGTCGCATGCGGTATCGCGTGGCCATCGTAGATGGGCACCGTGTACGATGCGCCATCGCCGAATCCATGACGATCCCTGTGGTGTTGCCAGAAGCGTACAGCGAAAACACTGCCTGGATCGCGACGTACATCGCCGGCACGTTGAAGGTCTCAAAGATGATCTGCGTCATGCGCTCACTGTTCGCCTTCTGGTTCAGGAGCGCCTCCGTGAGGAGCAGAGGGTGCTCCTCCTGAGCCACGCGGAGCTGGTTGTAGAAGGTATGGTGCCAGATCTTCTCCATGTCGCCCCAGTTGGTCACGATGCCACACTCAATGGAGTAATTCAGAGTCCAGCTGTCGCGCTGGCTCCAGGCCTCGTCGCCCACGTCACTGTCCTTTTGGTCCATGCCGACCATGATGCCTGGCATTTTCGGGCGGCCGACACTAGAAGGGAACACGGCGTGCAGCGCGTCCTCGCCCGCGAAGCTGGTCTTGCACATGCCACTGCGCCCATTGCGCTGGCTGCGACTCGCCCGAACCATGCCATCGCACAACCGTCCGTGACAACGGCACGCAAAAGAGGTGGTAACAAGATCGCAAGTGGCTGCGCCTCTGGGGCAGACCAGGAGGCAGAGTGCAACCTGGGGCGGACCAAGTGCACAAAGAAAGCAATATGCTCGCCTGGGGCGAACCAGGAGGCAGGCTGACGCCGGGGGCGGACCAGACGCAGCGAAGCGAAGACCTGGAGCCCTGGAGCCCCTTGAGCCAGTCTTGCTTGGGCCCCTTGAGCCATTCTTGCCCTTGAGCCAAAATTCACAAGGAAAGGAATGGAGGAGGAAGAGGAGCGGGAAGAGGAGGAGGAGAAGTAGAAGGAGGAGGAGAAGGGGGAGGAGGAGGAGGAGGAGGAGGAGGAGGAGGAGGAGGAGGAGGACGGCTCGACACTCGAATCTTGAACCTCGAACCTTCACACCCAAGCCTCCCTGGGGGCAAGACACGACGATCTCCAAATCAACGTCGACGATCGACGAGACCCCGAGTCTCGATCCTCGAACCCCTTGTCGCCCCAGGGCTGGAGTCTGGAGACGGCGCCTGTGTCGTCCCAGGGGGACGGCCCTACGGCTAGGCGGTGGCGCCGGGGCGCTGGCATTACGCGAACGTCGCCTATCAGACTCTGGCCCATTTCATCAATCCCCTGTGCTTGTTTGGAGGACGCGACATGGGGGGGCAATGAACAGGGGGAAGCGAGGGCTGCAGAAAGGGGCCCGTTCGGGCCCCGAACGGGGCCTCCCCTTTCGAGCTCCGAAGGGGCCCTTTCGTGCCCCCAAAGTGCACCTCTCTCCGCCCTCCATGTGTCGCCCCCCCCCCCCCCCTGAAGCGTTGCCCAAGTTGTTGTGTCGCTGTTGGTCAGCCCAGGGCGGCGCCTTGAACTCCGCTGAACTTGCCGGGAGGGCACTGCTCGCACGCCTGGGTGCCCGCGGGGAGGGGGGGGGGGGAAGGGCGCGGCCGCCCGCGGGCGCGCCGGCGGCGCGCGGCCAGCCGGCGCCGCGCGGCCGCCAAGGGCCCAGGGGGGGAGGGGAGGGGCGGGAAGGCGAGGATGGAGGTCCACAAGAGGATCGAGGCCTCCCCGAGCCCTCGAGGCTGGAGCGGCGGCGGGCTCTCCGAGCCTCGAGCCCTCGGCCATCGGGCCTCGGCCCTTCGAACCTCGTCGGGCCTCGGTCTCCTCGAGCCTCCTCGAGCCTCCTCGGACCTCGATCCTCGAACATCGATCCTCGAACCTCTTGTGGCCCGCGGGAGGGGGGGGGTGATGATGCGGCGTGCGGCTTCGCAGAATGCTCGAGGACAGTGGGGCAGAGGCGTGTGGCGCCAAGTGACAAGGGTGACCACGCGACCTACGGCGTAGATGTTTTTTGCCTGGGTTGGTTCTCGCCCGGTTCGTTTCGCCCGGTTCGTTTCGCCCGGGTTTGCTTTCGCCCGTTTGGCTTTCGCCCAGGTTAGCTTTCGCCTGGGTTGGCTTTCGCCCGGCTTGGCTTTCGCCTGGGTTGGTTTTCGCCTGGGTTGGCTTTCGCCTGGGTTGGCTTTCGCCCGGGTTGGCTTTCGCCCAGGTTGGTGTTTAGTCCAGGATGGTTTTCGCCTGGGTTCGTTTTCGCCCTCTTCCTCCCCTCCTCCTCCCGCTCCCGTCCGTTTATGGGTCCGCCCGCCCGTCCTGACCCGCCCGTTAGGGGTCACGCGTGCTCACTCGAGCGCGCCTCACACTTTAGTGCCCCGCCCGCCCGACCCGACCCGCCATTAGGGTCCGCCCGACCCGACCCGACCCGTCCCTCCTGTTAGGGTCCGCCCGCCCGACCCGACCTGCCCGTTGGAGCCCGCGCCCATCCCCGGCGAAAGCCAACCCCAGCGAAAGCCAACCCCGGCGAAAGCCAACCCCGGCAAAAGCCAACCCTGGCGAAAGCCGAGCCTGGCGAAAGCCAAGCCCGGCGAAAGCCAACCCTGGCAAAAGCCAACCCCCCAGCGAAAGTCAACCCTGGCGAAAGCCAACCCCAGCGAAAGCCAAGCCAACCCCAGCGAAAGCAAGCCCGGCGAAACCAAGCCTGGCGAAACGAAACCCGGCGAAAGCCAACCCCGGCGAAACGCATCCGTGCCGGGAAGGGGCGGGGACTTGCGCGGGAGGAACATGTGGCGGATAAAATGGGAACCAGGAGGAGGTGGAGGGCGACTGGTACGGAGGGAGGAGGTAGGAAGGATGACAGAAAGGAGAATGAATAACTAAGAACTAGGAGGAAGTTTTCTGATCCTGGTTTTTCTGAATGGTGTGGAGAAGCATGGTGTAGGATTTGGGCGAAGGATGAATAGAGAGCAGAGGGGGGACGATGGACGAGCAAGTGTGCGGAACTCAGTCGTGCTTGGCTGGGGTCTGCGGAGCTCCTCTCATTCGGCGACAGGAAAAAGAAGCGAGTGCACCAAGAACGTTTGGGAAACCGAAAGCCCGAAGGGAGCGCGTAGCCAAATTGTGTGTGTGTGTGTGTCTTTATGTTGGGTAGATTTGGTCTTCGGCGTCGAATAAGTGTTTCTTTCCTTCATCGCGTCCGTTACGCGTCATACCCGAATCTCATGCTTTCTCTATGCCGGCCGTCTTGCTTACATCATCTATATGTGGGATTAAATGGCGGTGCGCGACGTTCGCACACTGGGAACTTTTGCGCGCATGCATCCGTCACCGCGCCGCGAGGCACTGGGTGGGCCGTTCTCAAATCCCCAAGGAGTCGCCAATCCCCAGTATTGACTATTTCTGTGCATGTTCCTTAACGAGTCCCAGGATTCCTCCAGATCATCTGAAGAAGCCCCGAGGCGGCCCCATAGTTGTTCTCGAGACGACTCAAGATGGCCTCAAGACGGCCCAGAAAGCCCCCAACGCGCCCCTAGAGGGCCCCAGGCCCCAAGCGGACCCCCTCCCCAAAAGGCCCCGCGAAACCACTATTAGTTGTGTTCTTTTTGGTTCCCCAAGCAATGCATACGATGTGGGGTCCCATGTGCATTGTAAGAACCCGTGTCTGGATTCCAACGGCGAAGACCGTGCCGCCCGTCGTGCCGTGCCCGCGTGCCGTGCACGCGTTCTAGACTGCAGAATGTGTGCCGTCCGCGTGCGCGTGCCGTGCGCGTGCCGTGCCCGCGTTCCAAGCCGCGAAGGAAATGCCGCACGTGCGCCGCCCGCGTGCGGTGCCGTGCCCGTGCCGTGCGGGTGCCGTGCCCGCCTTCCAGTAGTCGGGGAAATGCCGCCCGCGTGCCGCGCCGTGCCGTGCGCGTGCCGCGCCCGGGTTCTAAGATGCGAATCAGCGGGCGAAGAAAAATATAACATATGCTTTTCCGTCACCAGGGGCGCCTGTCCCAAGGCGGCTGGAAATTATATTCCTTGACGTGCCACCGTAAGGGTACACACTTTCCAACCACTTTGGGGCAAGCGTCCCCGATGGCGAACCAATTTATGTCATACCGTTCTTCGCCCGTTGAGCGAAATGCCGCCCGCGTGCCGTTCCGTGCCATGCCCGTGCCCCGTGCGCGTGCCCGTGCCCGCGCGCGTTCGTTCCAGGAAGCGAAGACAGTGCCGCCGTGCCCGTGCCGTGCCCGTGTTCTAGAATGCGGCTAAGTGGCGCCAGTGCCATGTCCATCCTGTGCCCGTGCTGCGCGCGTGCCGCGCCCGCGCGTGATATAATGCAAATCAAGTGCCGCCCGCGTGCAATGGCATGCCCGTGCCCGTGCCGTTCGCGTGCCGTGCGCGCGCTCCAAACTGCGAAGCCTGTGCCGCCTGCGTGCCGTGCCGTGCCCCGTGCCGTGCGCGTGCCGTCCCCACGATCAAACAATAAGAAACAATGCCAAGCGCGTGCCCGCGCACCGTGCCGTGTGGTGTCCTTGCCTTCGCGCGCCGTGCTCGCGTTCTGCAGCATGCGAGTAACATGCCGCCCGCGTGCCGCGCCCGCGGTCTAGAAGGCGCAAGAGATGCCGCCCGCGTGCAGTGGCGTGCCCGTGTTCTAGAGTGCGGACAGTGTAACGCCTGCGTGCCGAGCCGTGCCCTGCCCGCGTGCCGTCTCGTGACCCTGTGCGTGCGGCGCCTTGCCCGCCTTCGGAACACGAAGCATGTTCCGCCCGCGACCGGGATTTGCAGAATGCGCAGCATGTGCCGCTCGCGTGCCGTGCCGTGCAATGCCCGTATGCCGTGCCGTGCCGTGCCCGCGCCTGGCTTTCAAACAGCACAGCGTGTGCCGCCCGCGTGCCGAGGCGTGCCGTGCCCGTGCCGTGCGCGTACCGAGCCGTGCCCGCGTGCCTTGCCGTGCCCGAGTGCCATACCGTGCACGGGCCTTTCGGTGTTGCCTTACCATGTGTCTTCTCACATAGCGTTTGTGTGTTGGGTCCCTATGCCGGTGTAGCTTTTGAGCGATTCCGCAGTTCTCTCAATTTCGAGCTTCCAGCGCCAGAAGACGGCCCAAGATGACAACACTATCGCCACACGACGGCCCAAGAGGCCTCCAAGATCGCCCAATCCCTGCCCAAGCGGCCCCAAGACGGCCCACAGCCCTCCAGGAGGAGCCCAGGAGGCCCCCGAGACGGCCCCAAGAGGGGCCCAAGAGGAAGACAGCGAAGAAGCATGTCGAGCGCTGCACTCCAAGATTGCCCCAAGATCCCCCACCCAGACGCCCCCGAGGCGCTCCCAAGAGGCCCCAAGAGGCCTTCAAGAGGCCCCTCGCGACGCCCCAAGACCAAAGAGACCCGACGGAGGGCCCCAGGTCTGCCCAACAGGCCTCCAAGACGGCCCACCCAATGGGCCCGCAGGACGCCACAGGGACCGACCCAGACGGTGTGTTTCGTTCTCGCTTTGTTTTTCCCCACATGTTTCGTGGGGTTCTGGTTTTCATCCCTGCCGCGTCGCACCCGCGACCCTCACTCACCTCACTCACCTCTCTTCCTCCTCCTCCTCCTCCTCCTCCTCCTCCTCCTCCTCCTCCTCCTCCTTCTCACACAGCGCAGCACAGCACAGCACAGCACTGCTCAGCACAGCTCAGCTCAGCTCAGCACAGGACAGCACTGCTCAGCACAGCTCAGCTCAGCATAGCACCTCAGCACAGCTCAGCTCAGCACAGCACTGCACAGCACAACACAGCACGACGGTCGTCCAGGGCACAGCAGGAGTGGGGTTTTGTCGACACCATAGGGCGTGCGCAGGGGGTGGTCCCTGAGGGCGGCCGCTATGCGTGCCAGGATCGGAAAGCGTGGCAGGAGTGGCATCTTCCCGACACCATAGGGGGTGCGCAGGGGGTGGTCCCTGAGGGCGGCCGCAATGCGTGCCAGGGTCGGAAAGCGTGGCAAGAGTGGCATTTTCCGACTACCATAGGGGGTGCGCAGGGGGTGGTCCCTGAGGGCGGCCGCTATGCGTGCCAGGGTCGGAAGGCGCGGCAGGACTGGCACTTTCCCGACACCATAGGGGGTGCGCAGGGGGTGGTCCCTGAGGGCGGCCGCTATGCGTGCCAGGGTCGGAAAGCGTGGCAGGCGTGGCATTTTGTCGCCGCCATAGGGGGTGGTCTCTGAGCGCGGTCGCTATCCGTGCTGGTCGTCCAGGGCATAGCAGGCGTGGCACTTTCCCGACACCATAGGGGGTGCGCAGGGGGTGGTCCCTGAGCGCGGCCGCTATCCGTGCCGGTCGTCCAGGGCATAGCAGGAATGGCACTTTCCCGACACCATAGGGGGTGCGCACGGGGTGGTCCCTGAGCGCGGCCGCTATCCGCGCCAATCGTCTAGGGCATAGCAGGAGTGGCACTTTCCCGACACCATAGGGGGTGCGCAGGGGGTGGTCCCTGAGCGCGGTCGCTATCCGTGCCGGTCGTCCAGGGCGCTGCTGTCCGTGACGGTCGTCCACGGCATCGCAGGCATGGCATATTCTCGACACCACAGGGGGGGCGCACGGGGTGGTCCTTGAGCGCGGCCTCTATCCGTGACGGTGGTGCTCAGGGCACATCGGTACGCAAGTTCGCTATACGTGCCGGTCGTGCTCAGGGCACGGGGAACGCTGGCGGAGCAGGCGTGGCATATTCTCGTAACCTTCGGGGGTCCGCAGGTGGTGGTCTCTGAGCGCGGCCGCTATCCGAGCCGGTCGTCCAGGGCGCAACAAGCGTGGCACTTTCTCGACACCATAGGGGGTGCGCAGGGAATGGCCACCAACATCATTCTCACATGCTTCACTTCAGCTATCGTCACTCCAGCCATCATATAAGTATGTGGGGTTCCTCGGTAGCGTAATTCGTTTTCCCTCGTTCAGTCTTCAATCTGCCCTTGCTTCAAAACGAAGTCGAAACGAAAACGGCCCACAAGATCGCCAAAACACAGTTTAGGTCGACCCTTGGGACGCCCCAGGATGGCCCCAGGAGGACCCCCAAGTTAGCCCCAGCAGGTCAAACTGCGCACATCTTCTGCGCCAGAAGCAGAAGCGCGCGTCGGCAAACGCCGACTCACGCAGCTCCGTGGATTTCAGTCACAGGTCCACGCGTCCACGCTAATATAAGAATAACGGCCTCATCCTAGTTTCAGGGGGCACCAACATATTGGGCATAACGTTCACTTCCTGCTTAAATATTCGGCTCATGGTCTGTACCGCAACAGCATACTCGCGGGGTGGGGTGGAGGCGGGGCTGGGTCAATCAATCTCGAATCGGGAAATCGGGTCGAAACGGAAAAACAATCAAATCGGGTTGCATCGGAACAGAGTCGGAATCGAATCTTCCGGCAGCGCCATGATGCACAGCAGCGCCATGTAAGCACCGCGCCGCCTCGGATCGTCGGAATATCGGCGTCGAATCGGATCGCATCGGGCCGGCCGAGATGGACATCGAACTGGATCGATGAGATCGACATTGGGCCCTATGGGGTGGGAGGGGGAAACAGCTGGGGGCAGGCAGGGACGTAGAGGCCTCCTAGATGGGGTCTGGGTAGATGGGGCCGGGGGATCGCGCCGCATCGCCGATGCATCGCCGACGCCACCGACGCCGTCGGCGTGGAGAGCATCGGGCTCCACATCGAGCCGCGCCGCCGCTGCATCGGCGATGCGGAGCGATCCCTCGACCCCAGGGCCTCGAGGGCAGCACTCACCAAACCGAAAGCACTCGTCCGAGTGAACGTCTCTGCGGCCCCCGCGGCTCGCGTCCCCGCCTCGCCGCCCGCCGCGCTGAACTCGCCCAGCTTGCAGACCTCGCACCCGTCGGGCCCCTCGGCCGAGCCCTTCGGGCAGCCGGCGGCGGCAAAAAGAACCTCGCGCGGCAGGGGATGGCAGGCCGGGCCTGCGCGGAAGCGAATCGTAGCACTGGACCGCATCGGCAACGGAGCAGCTCGCCAGCGAAGCGTCCCCCATCGAACCGAACATCGGATCGCCGCGCGCAGCTCCAACTGGCCCCAGCCGAAGCGGGCGAACTGGACCAGATCGAATCGAATCACATCGTATCGGATCGTAGGTGGCCCTGGCAGGGCGGTGCGCTGGCCACCCAGACATCCGAGGCCGTGCTTTTTAACAGCGTGGCCCCCCCAGGGATCTGGACCTCCTCCCAGTGGCCTGCATTGTCATCCTGGGTCGGTTTTTGACAGCCCTGGGGCCTGGCAAGGGCCGCAAGAGGCCGAAAATGTGCGAAGACCTCCCGGCGCGATCTTTTCACGACATGGAGAAGTCTGAGCCCGAGCCCGACCCCGAGCCCGTGCAGGCGCCCGCGCCCGAGCCCGCGCCCGCGCCCGAGCCCGCGCCCGAGGCTGGGAGGGCAGGGCGGTGCGCTGGCGTCGCGCCCTCACGCGGGCCGCGGCCGCTTCCGCCTGCTGAAGGGCGCCGCAAGGGCTGCCGCAGGCCGCCCCGGGCCTACCCCGGTCGGAGAGGGGGGGAACCGCGAAGGGATGGCGGCGGTGCCCAGCCCGCGGGCGCTCGGGGGGGGGGGGCGGCCCGACCCCCGCACTTCCGCTGGCAGGAGGGGCGATACCCCAGATCTGGGCGTTCCGATGTCTTCACAACGGGCGTTTCCGCCGGTTGTCGGGCCCCGCGGCCCTTACAGATCGATCCGACTCGAAACATGGCGCGGAGAGTTGGGGTCTGGGGCTCTGGTCGTGTTTCTTCGCTATGCTGCATTTGTTTTGCAACGTTGGCTCTCAGGAACGATAAGGGGGGCATAGGCACAGGGTGGGATGCATCGACCTCGAATGGCCGATACATGGCCGATGCATCGCCCATTCATCATCGGCGGGCCATGCGCATACACAGGAGTTGGGCAGAGTGCCCTGAGATCAGCGAGGCATCGTCGATGCATTAACGATGTATCAGCCATTCGAGGCCGATGCATCCTCCCCGTAGCTGCCCCGATACCCAACACGCAACACGTAGCGTGCTGACACGGAGCTCAACACGTAGACTGAACACGTAAGTCTGTCGCGACACGCTCGCCAAAACGTGGAGCAGCATGTGCCGAGGCAACACGCAGCGTGTCAACACCGGCGTTTTGAGCACGGGACGCGTTGCGTTTCAAAGCGGGCATTTTGGGGGCAGCTACACACGAGGACCGCCTCAGTGCCGCAACCAGGCCTCCCTGGAGGAGGAACGATAAGGGTGGACTGGCTCCAGGGGGGGGAACGGGAAAAAGGTCGCGCGAGGACCGCCTGAGTGCCGCAGCGAGACTGGCTCAGGAAGCGTCGACCTGGAATCGGCGATACACCGCCGACAGGTCGGCGATGGGCCCCCGATGGCGAAAGCGCACGCTCCTGGGCGGGGTGAGCTATCAGGCCCCTATTGGCGATAGACGCGCGACGATTGGGGTCGATGCGTTTCCCCCTGAGCCTGCCCCCCGCCCCCCCTATCGTTGCCCCTGGTCCCTCCCTCGGCCGCACGCAAGAGGGACCCTGGGCAAGAGTGTGGACCTTTGCTGCGCGGCTTTAGATGGCCGCGGGGAGGCCAGATCCAAGCGCGCAAGCCGATGCTGGGGGGGGGGGAGCCCTGAAGGTCTCTCCAGCGAAGGGTCACTCTTGCGCGTGGCCTACTCCTTTCCCTTTCTCCCCCACCCCCGCCGCCAGGAGAGCCCAGAATCGAATCGATAAGTCGAATCGGCGATCGAAATCAGTCGGATCGGCGAAAGTCGGCAGCCAAATCCAGGGACGTCGAATCGGCGGGCAGTGGCAGGCCAATAAGGCCTCCACTGAGAAACCGAGGCCCAAATCGGAATCCGAAAAGTTGATTCGAACCGGAGGCCCAAATCGGAATCAGATGAACCGAATCGAATCGGAATCGGACTCGATCGAGGTCGGATCGAATCGAGCCAGAGGAATCGAAGTAAGCCCTGCTCCGCTGGCGCCCGCGCGCGCCGCTTCTCCTCTCCCACACCCCCTCCCGAATTCGAGCGGCCGCGTCACGCGGGGACGGGGGGCAACGTGCGCAAGGGCTCGACCTAAGCAGTCAGGGACCGACCACAACGATTATCAAAACGACATGGCGTTTACAACGAACAGCGAAACGAGGCCCAACGTTTAAACGAACGCCCAAAACGAAGGGTGTGCCAACGAAAACGAACGACGAAATGGGGCGCTTAAAACAACAGCGAACAACGACACGAAGCATGAACGAATCACGAAGCTAAACATGACACGAACAACCAAACAAGGGCCCAAACTGAGCCACACAGCGCTGTGGTCGGTCTGCTCCCCTACAGATGTACTGCCGAAGCGCCGGGAAAGCACGCCTTACCAGAACCCATCTTCCAGCCCCCTGGACATAGAGGGCGACAGAACTGCACCAGCATAGCCCTTCCGAGGTCCGCGCAACTCTCTTGGATCGGCGCGCTCCGCGCGCCAGGGAGGTGGCCCAAGACCGAAGACATCCGTGCGGACCTCTGAAGGTGTAGGTTTATGAAGTTTTTTTTTGGCTCGAAAAGATCTGGCGGCTGGAAACCATCGATGCGGGCGATGTTTCGCCACGTTGCGCCCTCGGAAGCCGTTCTCGGGCCCTGGGGCCGACAAGCGGCCCACGGTGAAAAACCGTGCCCAGTGGAAGTGGTCGAGAGGTCTAGGGGGGCCACGTCTCGAAACATATCGGACCACCGTCGGAGTGGCCGGGGGAGATATCGATCTGGCTGGCGTGCGGAGGGTAAGGGCAGGTGCTTCTAGCCCGCCTCTCGATCCCGGCGAACGCACGGCTTGAGGCCTTCTTACGATGTCGTAACCAGACCCTGAGGAGGAGGAGGAGGAGGAGGAGGAGGAGGAGAAGAACGAGGATGAGGATGAGGATGATGAGGAGGAGGAGAAGGAGGAGGAGGAGGAGGAGGAGGAGGAACGAAGTAAGCAACGCTGGCATCGACAAGCACCTCGTCTACATTTCCCTCCAACTGGGACGCGAACACACCCCTGTTCCCACAAAGCAGGGCTCGGCACGTACAGGACAGCAGAGCCACATCACAGTGGCTGACCTACCAGATGTCCACCAACATTACTTCGATCTACTTGAAGAACGACTGGAAGCTGTACGAAAAAAGTGGACCGACACATTATCACAAACAAGTATACACAGCCACTGGGCAGAAAGACCAGGCACAATCCCCTTCTACAGGAGTGCCGACGATCGCCGTGACGGACCACCCTTCGTACCTGAAGACACCAAAGACCACGAAATCCGACGTCACGTGATCGTTGACCAGACCTGGAAAATTCGCCGGCCCAGCGGACCAGAGGCGTGCTAACATATCCGGAAAATGGTTAACAATCTTTCTAATTCGCGCGCGCGGGGCGGCCCCTGGGGGTCCCTGGACGAAAAGTACCCCAGCAAGGTCCCGGGCGGTCCGACTCAGAGATGGTTCTCCTCCTGGGCGCGGCCTCTCAGGCCCCCAGAGCGCACCAAGAGGGCCCCAAGAGGCCCCCAAGACTGCCCGAGAGGCCCCCGAGACGCCCAAAGAGCGCTCCAAGACGCCGAAGATGACCCCAAGACAGCCCAAGAGGTCTCCAAGTGGCCTCCAAGAGGCCTCACAACAGGGCCCCGAAAGGCACGAATCATTTATTTTAGGATGGTTTTGGAAAGATTTTGGCCTCGTCGCCTTTTCTGCTTTCCGATGCTCCAAGACGGCCCAAGAGGCCACCAAGAGCGCCCCAAGACGGGCCAAGAGGCTTCCAAGAGGGCGTTTCGCTTTCTGGACGTTCCTGCCGTTTGTTGTGTTGTGAATCGTCTTTGCACGTGTTGTGAGCACCTGTGTGTGTTCAATGACCCCAGCCTGCCAGCGGGCCTCCGATTTCCTGACGCAGCATCGCTTTTCTTGGTTTTCTTAATCGGCTGGCGCGTTTTCTTGATTTGTTCCTTGTGTTTGATTGGTTTCCTTGGTTTTCTGGGCTGCCCGCGGGCCTCCGATAGCCCCAGTCCTGCCGATGACGCCCTGAGGAGCAGCCCAGAAAACCAACACAACCAAGAAAACGCACGGGAAATTAAGAAAACGGCGCCGTCAATCAAGAAAACGAAGAAAATCATTGCTGTTCTTGGTTTCCTTGATGGGCTGGCGCGTTTTCTTGATTTTCCCTGGTGTTTTCTTTGTTTTCTGTGGCTTTCTGGGTTGCCAGCGGACCTCCGATGACCCCAGGCCTGCCGACGACGCCCTGAGGAGCAGCCCAGAAAGCCAAGAAAACCAAGCAAAGCAAGAAAACACCAGGGACAATCAAGAAAACGGCGCCGCCAATCAAGAAAACAAAGACAAGCATTGCGTTTCTTGGTGTTCTTGATCGGCTGGCGCGTTTTCTTGCTTTGTCCTTGTGGTGTCATGGTGTTCTTGGTTTTCTGGGCTGCCAGCGGGCCTCCGATGACCCCAATCCTGCCGACGGCGCCCTGGGGAGCAGCCCAGAAAACCAAGAAAACCAAGACAACCACGAAAACACCAAGGAAATTCAAGACAACGGCTTCGCCAATCAAGAAAACCAAGGCAATCATTGCTTTTCTTTGTTTTCTTGATCGGCTGGCGCGTTTTCTTGATTAGTTCCTTGTGTTTGATCGGTTTTCTAAGTTTTCGGGGCTGCCAGCGGGCCTCCGATGACCCCAGTCCTGCCGACGGCGCCCTGGGGAGTAGCCCCGAAAACCAAGAAAACCAAGAACAGCAAGAAGACACAAGGGACAATCAAGAAAACAGCGCGGCAAATCAAGAAAACCAAGACAGCCACTGCTTTTCTTGGTCTTCTTGATTGGCTGGCGCGTTCTCTTGATTCTTCTGTGTGTTTTCTTGGTTTTCTTGGTTTTCTTGTTTTCTTGGTCTGCCAGC